CCTCAACCTTCATAGGTTGTTTTCTTAAATTGCTCATATTTCTGTCATTTGCAAAACAGAATTGTCCGTTTAAGGATGCGAATCCCGTATTTCCTGTCATTCCTCTATAAATTTGCAAAGATAACATTTATTTCAGAACTAATTTACTGGTAGGTATCCAATTTTAGTGCACAATCTAGAATTAGCGTTCTTTTTGCATATGATTTGCTGAATAATGTGGTGTTTTGTCTTTAGCCCTGTTGAGGAGGACAGAGATTCAAAGATAATCTCAAAGGATGAGAAAGGTATGGGTTTTTTAACAAAATGTACAAATGACTTGGAAAAAAAATGTTATGAGGTCAGATCTAACGTTGTGATTCAATTGTAGTAAGTAAAATACAAAGGAGCAAATGGAGTAATAGTTCTACCTGCTTTTCGACTTGCCTTTCTTACATTTTGGGGTTTTTTGTCTTGTTAATTGCCTAAGCATGCGTATATGTTCACTATGTTCACTGTAATAGTTATACTGGAGTCCCACTAGCTTCGTGAGTAGTGATAAATACCAGCAAGATTAGCGTTTGTCTGAAAAATATCAACAGATACCTAAACCTATAGGTTTATACTCTGTGTGGCACCTCTGGTCAGGGCTGTTAGCATAGCGAGCTGTCAATGCAGTTGTAACATAGACCTTCGAAGCATGAATTGTAAACTTCAGTTCATATAACTTCTGTCACCTTATGAACCAACAAAAGGTTTTTGGTTTTGTGTTTTTTTTTTTTTTTTAGAAACAGGAGTCTCTCGTGAACTAACATTTAATGCTTTGTTTTTCTCATAAAAGGAATTGGAGTGTAGGAAGACAATATGTAGATGAAAACGCATTAAGACTATTCAAATGTGCGTCAAAGTATGGAGTTCAGAAGTTCATTTTTGCAGGCTGCAAAAATGGTCTGTTGATTTTAAGATTGATTGGAAGAGGCAGAAGTAAAATTGCATGTGAAGAGGTTTATGAAGAGGAAAAAAAAAGTGGGTGTTGTAGGGTGATTATTTTTTCACTGTTGCATTCTTGTGCTACATGGTCTTTTATGTTTGGCTTTTTTGTGCCTTAGGCCGTGTGGGTAGTGGTTCTGGCAGAAATTTGTGGGTTAGTGGACTTTCATCCTCTACTAGAGCTACAGACTTGAAGAATCTTTTCAGCAAGTATGGAAAGGTATGTAGTGGTTATGTAAATTTACAAACTATTTTATCAATTTGAAAGGATGACCTTTCAAATTTAGCTTCTATTTTTCCTAACCAATAACTGGGTAGGCTACACACTTGACTTCCTTGTGTTCTTATGAAACGCTGTATCTGAAAGTAGCGTACTTCATAAAGAAGGTTGTCTGAAATGGAGGAGTGGGCAGAAATCCAGGTTTCAGAGAATGTCTGTGCAGATACCTGTAAAAATGAGGCAGTTCTTGACAAGAGAGACTGGTGGGTTGTCATCTAGTGCGCTGTAGTCTAATTATACCTCTTGGGTGTCCACTGTTAGTTAATGTTGTTTTAAAGTGTTCCATTTCAAGGGATATTCATTGAGAAATCTAGTCTTTGAGGGCAGGCTTCCATTTGTTCTTCAGTGCCAGCTAGGATACGAGAACAGAAGTTGTGGAAAGTAACTCTTTCCATGACCATCTCCTCTGCCTCCTAATTAATTTCTGAATGTAATATTAAATATTTGTGTCACTAAGCACGTGCTTCTACACTGTCAGAGATTGTCATCTGTGGATAGAAACTAACAGAGGTGTACTGTAAGAAAAGATGAAGTGGTGGTCTTTTTCTTTAATTATTTTTATTATTATTCCCCCACGTATGTCTTCCTGAAGTTATTGACCTGCTCAGCAACTTGAAGATGAATTTTCTGAGCTATTTACATCATGGTCTGTGAAGTAGTCTTTAGCGAGGCACTTCTAGACCTGGTTGGCCCAGCAGCATAGAGGTCAAGTTAAAATGATAACCTTTCCTTTGCTACCTGTCAAACAAACCTAGCAACAGTGTTTTCTGAGAATGCTGATGGAATGTTGTGTGCTGAGCATATTTCTTCCCTGTTAAAAGTGGATAACGTGCTGTACTGTGTGGTACTGGTAGACAAAGCTGCTCAAATGGCGATTAAGTTAGAAGTTATTTGGCAACAGTCCTGCAAACAAGGAATAATTGTTTTTCCCAAAGGTGGTTGGTGCAAAAGTAGTGACAAATGCTCGCAGTCCTGGTGCTCGCTGTTACGGCTTTGTTACGATGTCAACATCTGAAGAAGCCACTAAGTGTATTAATCATCTCCACAGAACAGAGCTGCATGGAAAAATGATTTCTGTGGAAAAGGTAAGTGGTAGCTATTCCATGACAGTGTAATGAAAATAAGTGTGCAAGTTTAATTTCTGTTTCTTACTATAAAAATATTTCTGGCTAAAATTCTAGGCAAAAAATGAACCAGCTGGGAAAAGGCCTTCAGACAAAAAGGAAGGTGAAACAAGGAAGGAAAAAGACAGGCATCATTCTGCAGATTCCAAATCTGAGAAGTAAAGTGGTTTTTTTTTTTGTTATTTTTCTATGTTTAAAGGCCACTCTTTTGAAATGCAGCCACGTGACCAAAGTGAACAGTAACTGTAATAAGTCTCGATTTGCTGCTTCATACTACATCTGAAACAGTAATCAAGTAATACTTGAAAAATTGAAATTGGTGTTAGCAGTAAGTGCATCTTAATTAGCCCTCTGTTCAAAAATATGGAGCTCTTCAGGGTTTAGTATCAAAACGTGTCAGTTATATCAGGAGATACCAAATCAACTTGTTTCTAGATAAACCATTATTTTTGTCTGAATCAGTCGTCCTCTGATCTGACTCTAGCTTGGTCTGCTCTTTTAACTGACAGGTATTTCCAGGATTTCATCTGTCTTTCTGATAGACTTGTTTGCATGGTTAGCGAGTTATATTTCAAATTTGTTTTTCAAGTGGTCTGTTGCTTTTGAAAGAGGCGTTTTGCTTTACTCCTTTTTGTTCTCTCGTAAAATTTTAAAAGATTTGGCAAAGGAGATGCTTTGGCAGGCTGCTTAAGGTATTTGTTCACAAAAGCTCTTCTGGTGGAGCTTGACCCTCTACCTGGGGGGCCCTCTTCCCCTGTGCTAAGCATGAACTTTACTTGCAGGCAGAACAGAAGACTTCTAGGAAGTCTCCAAATACTCAGAAGGATTATCTGTCTTTTCTCACTTTTGGTCAGCTTTAGCTTAGTATTGGTTGCTACTCTTAATTGTGTGTATGAGCACGTGTTGGCTTCAGCACAGCAGCATGGAAGGTTTTGGGACTGGTTTTGTTGGGAGTGGGTTTTTTGACAGTTTTTTTGGAGGGGTTTTGTGTTGAGTAGTGGTGGGTTTTTTTGGTTGTGGTTTTTTTTTTTTTTTACATGGTTGGCTTGATCATAGTGGTTATAGCACTTTTTGTTATGTTCTGTAGTAAAGCGAAGTTTACCTATAGGTCTGTCAGTATTAAGAAGGAGGAGAAGATTGACAAAAAAGAGGATGCTAAGAAATCAGAAAAGGATGGAAAAGATGAAAAGGAAGAAAAAGAGAAAGATGAACAAAAAGCTGGATCCTCTGATAGATCTAGGGCAAGCAAATCAGGTAATTCTAGCTGCCTTTCAGAAATGTTTTCAAGGATGTTTCTTTTAAATGAATTTTAAAAAATTGGTACAAAAAATATAAGCAACTGTGACAAAACTTCTACATTACATCCAAAAGAATTTCCTTTATCAGCTAAGTAGGAAATGGAAGCACAAATCTTAACCTTCAGAATCGTGGCTGATTAGAAGACTCAGCTTCTGCAAACCTCAGAGTTATTACTAGATGTGATTCATAATTCAGTAAAAAGACCATGAAGCATACTTAGTAATACTGAGGTTTTCCTGGTGAACAAAAAGCAACATCAAAAATACCTTGAAAACTTTTTTCTGACTTGGAACACTAGTAACTTAGCCACAAAGTTTTCCTAATTACTAGGCTTTAATAGTCAAAATGGTAAACTGTGAATTTTATGGGACTATCGCTGGATTCACACCTGACACAGTGTGCAGTTCTGTGTGGGTTTTTTGTTTTGTTTTGGGGTGTGGGTTTTTTGTTTGTTTGGTTTTGGTTTTTTGTTAACTGTGGCAAAGGGATATATTTTTGCAGACAGAATAATTATATTTACTTTGTTTTAACTGTCACCCCTTCCAGTAAACACTACTGTAATTTTGTGGTAGCTTTACTGCCCCCATTCCCAACTTGGCCAAATCTTGGTAAGCTATTTAAATCATAAATGTATTCTTCCATAAGTTATTTAAAGCCTCATTGAAGTAACTTCTTACTGCTTAGTATCTCAACGTTTTTAAATCTTGCAAGAATTTTTGAGTGTCTTGCGTATGATTTGTTCTCAGCTGTATTTTGTTTTCTAGCGAGTCGAGGCACCGAAAGAACAGTGGTAATGGATAAATCGAAAGGAGAACCAGTTATTAGTGTGAAAACTTCTACATCAAAAGAGAGGGTAAGTACAACCTTGAGAGAAGTCTTTGTGTAAAAATAGGTGTCAAATAGCTTTATATGCATATAGTTGAAGGTGGTTTTTGCTTTGCATATTGTGAACAGTTATCCTTTTATCACTTTCTAGAAAGCGTTAGGGTGTTAATGATACTGCGAAGGTAGATGCTTATGCTTCACCTAGCTTTTGTCACTGCTGTCCTAGTTCAAGAAGTAGAGTTGCAGTATGAAAATGGTGTTGAGAATGATGTATTTCCTCAAGCGTGGAGTCACCAGTGACCTGTAAAGCAGTGTATTGTTTGCTACCGGTGCAAGTCAGATCGTGTGCCCCAAGTATTTATATATATTTAAACTCTTCAGAAGTCTAGCCAAATTTGGGGTGCTTTTCCCCAGCCTACTTTTCTGTGGAATATCAACATTATTTACCTCTGGGAAGGCACGATAGTCTGTTTTGTTCAGGTTGGCATGAGGTAGGCCTTTTGCGTAGGAATTTTAGCTAAAAATGCGCTGTGTTCAACTAACGTATGGTTTTCATTTAACTCAGAGTACAAAAAGCCACGATCGCAAATCCGAGAGCAAAGAAAAGCAAGATATTTTATCGTTTGATAAAATCAAAGAACAGAGAGAACGTGAACGTCAGAGACAGAGGGAGCGAGAAATCAGGGAAACAGAAAGACGCCGGTGAGTTTTCCCGGTGTCACTCTACTCTTTGAATGGCATTTGTTTTTACTTCTTATCTGTGTTTTGAACAGGCTGCAAAGTACCGTGCTGGCCTTCCAACATTAGTATCTCAGATCGATTTGATACGAACATGTTTATAGAACAAACATAATGACAAATTATGAAGGTTTTTACTGCTGAAATCAGTCTTCTCTAAGCCTATGCTTTTTAGGAGGCTCTTTTTGACAAGTAACTTTTGTAGGTGCTTACAGATCTTGCATTCTGCTCTATCAGATATGAATTTCCATACTTGATTTTTCTTTGGAAGTTTGTCAGGCTTCTGTCTTAGGACATGCTGTGCTCTATGAAAGCTTTTTCAGAGCTGACTTAGAGTAGATGCCGTGTAACTTATGAAGAATGCTTACTCTTGCTTCTTTCATCTGTATGGACCTTTTTTTTTCCCTAAACTAAGCAGCTGCGATTTAGTTGAGATCATTCACCTGTAAGCAGGTAGTGAGAAGAATATAGGAAAAGGAGAGAAAAAAAAAAAGATAAAGCAAACAAAGAAACCTCACCCAAAGCAAAGAGGCAATAAAGCTTAGACTTAAGATTCTCAATCGAAAACAAAAGATCTCTTTTTCAATTAGAGAGAGAGAGAGGCGGGAACGAGAACAACGTCTTCAAGCTATTCATGAGCGGGATGAAAGACAGAGGCTCCAGAGGGAGCGAGAACGACTTGAATTTCAAAGGCAGCGTCTTGACAGAGAGCGCTTGGAGAGAGAGAGATTGGAGAGAGAAAGAATGCACATAGAGCAGGAAAGGAGACGAGAACAGGAACGAATCCAGCGAGATAGGGAAGAGCTGCGACGCTAGCAGGAACAGCTACGCTACGAACAAGAACGGCGATCTGCCATGAGAAGGCCTTACGATCCTGACAGCAGGTAACTATAACAGTGATGAGACTCCAAATCTTTGGCCGCATCCAGTTACAGATAGTGTTCTAAAGCCTGTGTCAACTTTGAGTGCTCTTGCTAAAGCAGTCATGGGAGCTCACAACTGAAAGGCTATTTACATGTTGCTTTTAACACTTTAATATCGATCTTGTGAAAACAAATGTCGTGCTTGTATACCTGTAAGCACAGCAGGCTTAAAATTCTTATTTCTCGAAGAGGAGTGACCGAGGATAGAAACAGCATATCGACTCTAAAGCAGGATTGCAGGCAGGAACATTTACTTGTTCTCTTCTCACATCTGCACATGCTGTGATTAAGCTTTTTGTGTAGTGTCAATACAGCTAGCTTCCTCTGAAACAGAAATGCGATGCCCGCTTAACAAAGGGGTTTTAATTATAAATAAAAAATAATTGTTTGGATAATTGGATTGAATGAGATTTGAATCAAGGGAGCAGGAAAGGAAGGTTGTTTTGAGGTTACTGTTAATAGTGACTTTCTTTGCAGGCGAGATGACCCCTACTGGCCAGAGGCGAAGCGGATGGCAATGGATGATAGGTATCATTCTGAATTTAGTCGTCAAGACCGCTTCCACGACTTTGACCACAGGGATCGTGGCCGATACCAAGATCATTGTTTGGACAGGTCGGCAAAGCAGTGTCTTTTCTTCCTGTACCTTGATGGAAATTGTGTCTTCTCGTGGCTTACTAATGGCTTGAAGGGTGCCAAAAGAGAAAAGCAAAACAAACAATCCTTGTACATTTCTTGTCTGGCTTAATATGTGCTTGCAATCCTCTGTTTCCATTGTTTATGGGAGTATTCTCCCTTGGTACCATTGAGTACCTGACTGTGCATGCTCAGTGATGCCTTGCTTACCCATATGACTAATAGATGTTACTTTGATCTCTTCTAATGCTCTGAAATAAGAACTCATTTGAGTATCTTACCACTAAACAAACATTGGCGTTCAGATTTGTAGCTTAGAATAGAATTACGATTACTGTGTTGATTCAACTGAAGCTTCTCTTTTTTTTTTGTTCCAGAAGAGATGGTTCGAGAGGAATACCAGATCGAGATGGGCAGGTGGGTTATACCCAAGTAACTGCTTCAGTTAAAAAGCCAAACAAACCGACCCCAATGCGGAAAGAACACCTTGTGCATGCTGCCTAGTTCTTAAATGCAACCAGAACTGGGTTTAAACTGAACAGATGTTCAAGCAGCAACTGATTTTGCACGCTAACGTGCGGAACGTAAGTTACGAAGTTGTCCTCTTGTTAGAGCAGTAGCCACAGATCGGGGCAGGGGAAAGCTCCAAGTGATGGGAGCTACAGTATGACATCTTTTCAGGATGATATGTGGTGATAAAAGTTTTCTGGTTATCCATCTTAGGTGTCTGTATTGCAGTAAGAGGTAGACTGTAGTGTCTTATCCTTAGCTGACGAGGGATCCCTTCTCTGACCGTTTATCTAAATGGTTTGTAGAAAATAACTGGTGTCATAATGGAACAAGGCAGATGCCTGTAAAGGACAGATGTGAAAACGAGTATCAAAACAGTATAGAAAACCTTTCATTTCTGGAGAGAGCTAGGAAGTAGGCAGATATTCCATGTAAAAATTAAAAATCTGGAGCCAGAATGTAAGGCTTAAAAATAAAAACCAAACCAAAACAAAAAACCCCAAAAAACCCAACAAAAAACCCACAACAAACCCAACCGACCAAAAAAAAAATACTCTACCAAAAAAAAGAAACCAGCAAACCACCCTAGCAAATAAAAAGCCTTCTCCCACCAATGAATGGAGTGGAAGAATCTGTGCTGTGGAACAAAATAAATGCCTAGAATCAACAGTGCATGGCAGCAACAATGGAACCAGTAAAAAATGAGGCAGCTACTGTTTTATTTTCTGACAGCTTATAGAAAGGCAACTTCTGAGGAGCTGAATTTTTGCAGTCCTAAAAGAAAACCTGTGTTGATTCTTTGTGTAACTCTGTACCATTTGTCTTGCAGCATTATCCAGATGAACGCCACGGAGGGCCTGATCGTCACTCCCGGGATAGTTGGGGTGGCTATGGGTCTGACAGAAGAATGAGCGAAGGGAGAGGGATGCCTCCACAAACTCGGTTAGTGCAGATGAAGTAAAGGAAGTGGTTTGTTGGTTCTTAAAATTTTAATGCTCAGTGAAACTTTGAAGGGTGACAGCAGAAGCAGTCTGACAAGCATGAATCCTGTCTCCAGATAGTTTCTTCGAGCATCTGGAGGAGCAAGGAATTCACACGTGTAGCTCCCCCATGCATCAAGAGAATGGAGTGTTGTGAGTAAAGAAGTACTGCTCAGGTAGCTCAGGTCATAACTGTGGTTCTCTTATAAATAACTTTATTTTCTACAGATGAGATTCAGTCGTGTACCGGATGCTCCAGTAATGCCTACAAAGGTCTCATTTGTGGCTAGCGGTCAGGTTTTAAGGAAATCGAGTCAGAATCTGCAGTGGTGGAGGTGGGGAACTGAGACTCATCTGGATTCGTAGCAGTTTAGCCAGTCGAGCTAGGCTTATTCCAGATGCATTGTGTTCAATTCTACATAAATGTACCGAACAAAGGAATTGCAGTCAATGAATTATTCCGTGTTTAAGTGTTTTAGTATCTTGTGAAAATAATTATGTCTTGCTAGATCAGAAAAAGACAAGCTTTGTTGTGTGAAGGACGCCATTCAGCAAGTTTCTCATCATTTTCCTTTGACCAGTTTTTATTGCAGTAATTGGGTGGCTATAGATACAGCCTGATTAACGATTTAATACACTTTTGCATGGGGTATGGTGTTTGCCTTTACCCTATGGTGCTAAATGGATAAGGGACACACCTAGAAGATGTTCTTTTATTTTTTTAAGAGATGGACGTGACTGGGGAGATCATGGTCGAAAGTTAGAGGGGCATCAAGATCGTTCATGGCAGGGAAATGTGGATGGAGGAATGATGGGACGGGATCATGAGAGATGGCAAGGTACACTTGCTGCTTACCAGTGTGATCGTGGTTTTTTCTATGAATTACTGCTGCTGAACTTGTAGCGGTAGTTAAAATTCCTATGGAGCTTTAACAGCATTACTGAGAAAGCAAATAAAATTCTGGGAACAAGGTGGCTTTTTTATTAGGAACACACAAAAGTCTTGTTTGTTTTTTTTGTTTGTTTGTTTTTGTTTTGTTTTGTTTTTTTCTAAATTAGGTGGTGATAGAAGCATGCCTGGTCAGTCAGGACCAGGCCATGTGATGACTCGAGGAGGGATGTCGGGGTAAGAAGCTTTGCCAGAGTGCTTATAATGTTTTTATAGTAGCTGACCAATCTGTGTAAAAGAATTATTTCCTGTGTCAATGTTGAAAAATAATACTTTCGGCTTCGACTTAACTATGGATTGGCAAGTAGAAAAAAACTTAAGCAAACATCTTTTCTCAGAGTCACGGTAGTAGTAACTTTTCTGAGCAATTTTCAGTTTGTCCATTTCTGTTTTTAGGCGCGGAGGCTTCACGCAAGTTGGAAACCAGAGCCCAATGATGCAGAGTAGTGGATTACAAGGAGTGTTTGCGGGCCAGGAGCGGACAAACAGACAGACAGAACCCCGTTTTACCCGCCGCTACTGAAAGCACTATATATGTATACATATATATATAACTTTTTTTTTAATGCCAGATGACAATGGTGGTGAATTTTGTGAACCAGGGTCACCTTGAATTTGTGATTACAAAAAGAAAAACTGCTGCCACATTGTAGCCAATTATTATGTCAACTTGGTTTGGTTGAATTTGGTGTTTGGTTTTTTTTTTTAATAAACATGTCCTTGGTCAAACAACACTTAAAGTTTCTTTTAGTGAAACATTCCATTTTTCAAAAATAATAAAATCAGTTTACGGCTACTAATTTCTTGTTTCTGTCGTCTTCGGCAATATGGCTTTCACGAGGGGCTTAAAAGGCAGTAAAGGAGAGACAATCTGCTTTCAACAGTGTGAGATTCTGAGGGATCTGGTGAATCTGTGACAGTGTGGAGGTGTATGTCCTTACCTGCATAGGACAGGGAGGAGAGTTCAATGTGCTTTCTCATTTTTTTTTTCTCCACCAGTTGTTATACCGTAAATGAGTATGAGTAGAAAGCACCGCTTGCCTAAGCCAAAGAGATGCTGGATCTCCAAGCTCCTGGTGCACTGCCTTACATGATAAGTTTAGTTCCCATTTAACCATGCAGATGTCCTGTGTTCACGTAGAAGTGAAACTGCCTAGATGCCTGTCCTTTTTTCTAGTCTTGTATCCCTTCTCTACTTTCCTCTGTCCTCCCCCTGCTTTCCTCTTCCCTGTTTCTGTTCTGTCGTGCCTGTGGGCATCGAGACTTGTAGCTAACTCACTGCTGGGATTTCTGAAGTGCATGAAGGAATGAACCTTCACTGCCGCCGTTGCGTTCCTGGATGCTTTTCCAGCTGCTGGGCTCGGGGCAAGTGGCTGCCATTTGGTCCAGGGGAGGGAGTGATGTGCTGTGGGCCTGGCGTGTTCTGTGTTGACTGTTAAGGGCTGGCACAGTGGTTAAAAAAAGAAAAAAATAATTTTTCTTTAAGTTTTTAATTTATTTGATTATTCTATGAGGATTATGATTACTGTTTTTTCCATGCGAGGTTCTTTCCAGCCTCATGTGGCCCCACCTCCAGTGTGTTTGTGCCTTGACCCTCCCTTGCCTTGTTACTTAGAGGTATTGAGTAGGCACTTCTATCCAGCACAGATTTGTGTCACTGTCTTCCCTGGAATTTCTTGGATGAAATGGTGTGTATTATTTGTGCTTGTAACAGTCTTCTGCCGGGGTTCTATCATAGTCCTGGGCATGCAAGCTTTTTCTATTACTCCAGTTTTGCTTTTTCATTAAGTGTCCAATAAGAATAGTTGTAGTATCAATCATAGCAGTTACGTTTTCTTCGGGGCTTTTTATCCATTGTTTAGCACCAGTTTCTGTAGTTGTAAGGTGTCCATTTTAGTCACCCATGCTGTGGGAATGAGTACAAGCAGGCTGTGGTTTCAGGTGGTATCTCAGCATGTGCCTTTTTCCTTTTTTGCAGGTCATGCACCAGGCTTCAGAGGGGTGAAGTTGCATGCTGACAAGTGTTCTGAGAAGGTGAGGTGGTTATCAGATGGGTTGGTGTCTAAGAGCAAAGTTTTATATGGCAACTCAGTGAAGTGTTTCCTGGTTTTGCAGGTGCTGTGTGGGCCATCTTTGGAATTGGATGAGCATTTCAGGTGAGCTGGGCTAGTAGGAGGTGTGTGGGGCTAGTGATTTCTTCCAAGCGCAACAGTATTTTTCCGTATTTTGGTATCTTAGGTGCCACATGTGATGATGGCTGCAGTGTCCAACATGGGAATGGGTGCGTAGCAGGTGAGTGGAAGGCCATGTTCCTTTTGAGGAGAAGGATGTTGTGGAAGAGGTCTCTGTCAGCCTGTGTGATACTTAGTGCTGGTACTGCTTTTTTTGCAGATGATGAAGAGGAACCTGGCAACTGCAGGAAGAACCCAGTTAGCTGATGTGTTTTTTGTTGAGGATGGAGTCAGACCTCTGGCCCTCTGAAAGCTCAGTTGAGGGACCAGGGACCGCTGACCTACAGTGTGTAACTTTGACTTGTGTTGGAAAGAGACGTTCCAAAATGGAAATCTTTCTCATTCAAAGAAGTTGTTTTATGGACTTCCCATCAGAGTGCATCTTCAGAGATGATGTACTTGGCCATAGAAGTCAACAGCAACAAGACTTTTCACTGTCTTCAAAAAAAAAAAAAAAAAGTAATTTTCCTTCCAAAGACCCAAGCACAGATGTGTTCTAAAAGTTGATGGGATTGCTGGTCTTTGGGTTCTTAGTTGTAACAGTTGAGATATAGTTAAAAAAATTGTTCCTCTGCATGCCTCAGTACACAAAGAAGCATTAGCAAATCTCCCAGTCCTTTTGGGTAGCCTTCTGAATTGCAGCACTGGGGCTTTGAATTCCCTTTTCTTGACAGAAGTGTTTTTCCATATGAGTGACAGGCCCACTCCCGTCCCCTGCTTGCTTATCTCATGCCCTCCACCCCCCATATCCCATCTGCCTCTGGGGTCCTGTCTGCATCTCTGCACCTGCTCATCACACACACACCCCCCCAGTTCCCTGCACTCCTTATGACCGTAGGATGTTATGTTCAGTAGTAAAACTACGGCCTTGGTTGGCAGCAGTGCTGTTATTCAAGCCATGAGTTTTTCACTTTTACCCTTCCGATTCTCTTCACCCATTCCACCAGGGGCAGGGAGAGTAAGCGGTTATGGGTGACTAGTTGCCGACTGGAATTAAATCATGACACGAGGTTAGGTGCAAGCACTGCTGGGCCTAGTGCTTTAGCCTCTCCATGTTACTCCTGCCATCTTGATAGGCCATCCTTGTTCTTTGCTGCTGCTTTTTGCACCATAAGCAGCAGTAGTCAGGCCATGCAAGCATACCTGTCTCCCAACTCTGTGAAAGACAAAGTGTGAAATAGACATGGCACAATCTACAGCAATTCTGTCTCTCGAGGAACCCAAGCTGCTCACCCAATGCAGGCAGCAAAGTGCTCCTGCCACATGGTGTGGAGCAGCAAGGAGTGCAGAGCTATGTTCCTGTAGAGAGCAAAGATGGAACCTGTGGGCTCTGCAGTCATCTGCTAAGGCTTTCTTTGCTTTCCCTGCTTCATGTCTAATTACTTTGCGTGCTGAAGGACAGGGTGGTAAGTAACATCAGGCATTGTCTCTAATCTGAGTGACAAGGCTGGCAGAGGAAGCTTTGTGTGCATGCAGGGTTGGGAGAGCAGAGTACAGGTAGCACGGTGGCAAGGAAAGGTGCAAACAACCCAGCAGAGCCCAAGGAGCACCAGCATGTTCTGCATATGCCGAGGCGCCACTTGCACCAGGTCAGCTCGGATGTACTGTTTCCTGATAAACATTGCAGCCTCTCTCAAAGAAAGCCACCTCTTTTCAAGTGCCTTCAGCATGGCATCTGTGTTGCCTTCCCTTCGCCACCCCAGCTTCTGTTGACTTGCTGCTGTCACTCCCACCCCCCTCATGTCACATGCAGATGGATACAGCAACCTCTGGGGACTACTGTGGGGGAAAAAACACTCCTCCAGAGGTTCCCTATGTTGCTTCTCCCCCTAGGTAATGGGGAGGGAGGGAGGGACAGAAACAACCGCCTGAATGTTAAAGCAGCCAAATGCAAAAGGCTGAAATGCTCGAGCCATGTGGATGCTTTTTAGTAGGAGGCGCTGAATATCCCTGCTGGGGCTGCGACTGGGAAAAGGGCGGAGAAATGTAATCCCTGAACCCCAGGTTTACTGACTTCAGAGGGTGTAAACGGGGCTGAGACACGGATCTTTGCTGA